CTATCTATCTATCTATCTATCTATCTATCTATCTATCTATCTATCTATCTATCTACACTGAAAGATGCGGTTCACTGCAGAGACAATACTATTCTCTTTTCATTTTATATTTAGTACATGTCCATTCCACCAATGTTGATGCACTTCAATATAAGCGCGAAGGAGATTTTGCGTCTCTCTGATGTCGCACATTATTGCCAGGCCTGATTTTCTAAGGTCAACTTTGAGTGACCATATCTTGGGCGTCTCTTAAAATAGATGAAACATTAATAAAATTATAATGTCAAATGATGCAGAATTTATTCAGCTCTAAATTGGTATGCTGCATGAGCGGGTAGTGTAAGCCTGTAACACAATTATTGGGTGATTACATTTTAAAGAGTCTTTTGGACGCCACTATATAAAGGGAACAAACACAATAGCAACAAAGCGTTAATTATACCACGTTTCGTAATGTTGCGAGAAAGAGGCTAATTTTTGGCTACTGGGGTTAGCTTTCTCATGGTACTTGCTGAACGTATATATATACAGATGACTTCGAATTGGTCATACATCATGGCGAGATCTTACGCTGAACTGGCAGCCAAAAATAAGATGTGGAGTGTGTGTGTGTGTGTAGGGGGGGGGGGGGACTAGATTATGATGTAACCTACGATCTGGTGGACAAGTAACGGGTAGCTTTTATCATAATCACCATCAATGTAGGAAAGAAAAGCAGGGAGGGAGAGTCTTGAGTAATTTTGTGTCAGTACAATGTATTTGTTCATTAAAATGGCTCAACATTTCGCCTGTAATTTCTCCGGTACCAACTGAGAGTAATGCCAAAAATAGCGCTGTAATATGTACCTAACAAAGGAGGTTTTATTGTCAGTTACCTGGCCGGATGTGGTCATGTGTGAGCAACGTTTGCGCAACAGGTAAAAGCATACCTGTTTACCAAACGTTCTGTTAAGAGATAGCTTTGCAGCTCTGTCCTCTCTGCATTTTTGAGCCTCATTTTCACCAAAAACAAATAACAACCAACCACACAACCTGAAAAATACACCGAAGCAAACAAATGCCCTCCTCCCCTTCTCATAGGTCACAATTCAATTAAAACAAACGAGGTTTTTTTAAAATCATTTCAATACACAAAGAATTCACAGACCCCACAGATCTAAACTACACAATGCAGAAAGTACTCAATCATGGTATTAAATACATGAAGAGTAAGTCCACAAGCGCCATCATCATCATCATCATCATCATCATCATCATCATCATCATCATCATCATCATCATCATCATCATCATCAGCAACAACAACAACACCAATTGCGACACAATCAACACAAACAGCTTCATCAACACAAGCAACAAAGCTGAAGCCTCTCCCGACTTCTCACAACTCCTCA